TGAAAGCAAAGCAATAGGTTGAATAGTTTCAACCGCCGCAGGAGACGATGTTGCCGGTGGGCTTGGGGTAGACGCCCTGGAATGTCCATCCATGGGCTTAGTTGTCGTCAAATTCTCTGTCTTTGGCAAGGTTTCCGGTTCCATTGTCAAAGCAAGTGGAACTCTCGGAGCAGTAGGGCCAGTCATGGAACGCTCCTGGCCCTGTTGATGAGCCCACTGGTTCAAAGACCCCATACCTGGCATACACCCGGAAGACAGCTGCCCACAGCTCGACATCATGGCCTGAGCCATATATTGCATCAAATGAGTTGGCAGGAAGCCATGCTGCAATGACCCAGAAAAGGCTGCAGGACGCGGCGCTTCTTTGTGGGATTTTCGCAAAGGCATCGTCCTCGCCAAAAAGATAAGATTCTCCGTCTGAATCCTCAGCAGTGGCAATGAAACAGAAAACACAATGACGACATCAAAGGTCGATGCACACGTCTATGTGGGTTTAGGCTCCTGCTTACCATCAATAAGCGGTACGCGACTGAATGCATTTGCATGTCTGTAAACCGTTAAATGTACATAGATTTCCTTTGAACAGATGCCAAGAACAGACAGGAAAATGAAACATCTACATTACCATTCCAAGATTCCTCGGCGGAACTGGCTCCCCACAGTCACCGTACATTCTCCTCCGCAGATCTTCATGGAGCTCTCTGAAGTCACCTGGCAGAGAAACAAGGTAGGTGCCAATGATGCCCGGGTCTTGGCCTTTTGACATCTCTAAGATAGCCTTCACTTGGGTCTTGACCGTCGTGTGCAAGCTGAACCAGTCCTGTGTGGTTTGAAAGTTGCGCTCATTCTCAGGCATTCTCAAAACCAACATGGCCGTGAGTGTCCCATAGACCGTTTCTGAAGGACATCGCAGGCCAAGATGGAATAAGAACTGCACGACTTGCTTCAGAACCAGAGATGTGTTGGTTCCTTTCAAAATCACTTCCCAAAGGTCTGCCGTCAAGAAGCATGCCCAAGTCAACCACTCTTGCATGGGGCGTTTCCCCTTCGGATCCAAAGGAGCACCTTTCATTTTTTCATGCAGGGCATCTAAGATTGCTTTCACATCCTTCCCCTCAATCACACCCTCGGCTGACTTCACTGTAGATGCCAAAGCCGTTGCTTGCTCCAAGGACATTTTGGGAAGTGCTGAGATTTTCTCACGAAGGGATCGCACATGGGCTTCGATGAGCACTGGTTCTGCCGATGAGGCGCGCAGAAACTCGATCAATGCCTTCATCTGAGTCTCCACACCATCAGCCATGGCGCTGCGCGGACACTATAAGGCGGTCCACAAAACCGCCCGCAGCCTATCGCAAAGAAAAGCCAAGCCTGGCAAGACATTACAAAAGCTCAGAGTGCTGCATCTAAAGTTCCAAAGTTCAGCAAAGAAATATTCATTTGTATAAAATGTTTCGCTGATGACATATATATATAGAACGCAGACAACGCACACCCAGTTCTGGAAAAGACCAGAACTGGCAACGCACAAAAAATCCTATTTAGCCAGTGTCGGATTTTAATAGCCGACGCTGGAAGTAATACGCACAACACACACCCAGTTCTGGAAAAGACCAGAATTTTCCAGAACTGGGAACACACACTGGAAGTTGAGCCCAACGATTCCTAAAGAAAAAGAAGATGAGCTGATGACAACTATAGGCGGCCCACAGAACGGCCCTGAAAGCCTCTACAAACCGTGCCCCAGCTATACCAAACAGCGCAAAAAAGAAAACGAACACTTGCAAACTCTTTTTCACACGCAAAAATCAACATCCTGCAAGCGGCCCACCAAGCCGCTCAAACATGGATTAACCCACTACTTCTCGGCAGGCTCAGACGTAAACAACAAAACCTCTTCACACTGGTCATACTCATTCCAAACGTGCATGGCCACAACATTATCTTTCTGCACGCGCAGCTGATCCTTCACCTGAAAATAGTAGCTCTCGTATGCAATTATCCAAGTGCTCTGCTCATGCCGTGGCGCGATAAGAAGGTCCCGAGCTTTTTGAATTGGTTGGAATGCATCATCTGTGTCAGACCACTGCAGGCCTGGAAGCACATCTTGAACAAAGTATAAGTTGAACGCCTGCCCCTGTTCAATTGGGACCACGCAGTATTTCGCGAGCTGCCGCAGAGTCAGAGTCATGGCCACACATACAAATGATCTGCTGAACAAAGAACACTGCAGAGAGTCATGAACAAAGACTATTGCGAAGAGAATGAAAAACAACTCAACACCCATTCGCAAACTGAAGAAGCATGTTTCATTCTTTTTACAGAAACTCCGCACGCACTTGACAAATTGCACCAGCAACTTCTCCTTCTCATTTTGCGACTAAGTTCCGCTAAGTTCTGCTAAGTTCTCAGGTTCGCCGGTTTGAAAAACAGACCAAACATTTAGGAACACTTATCCAAACATACTAAGCCTGCTAACCACTGTAGGTTGACTTACAAAAACTTAAGAACTTACGTCAACATGTCGAAGTTAATATCAATTTAAAGCTATAATAAAACTAAATTTAACCAATGTTATTAACTTGCCCTATATTGGGTAAGTAGAAACGGCCCTCGTTGTAATAGCTTATTGTTACTACTAGTAAGGCACCTGTTACTACTAGCGATGCACCTGTTTCTAATAGCTTCTTGTTACTACTAGTAAGGCACCTGTTACTACTAGCGATGCAGCTGTTTCTAATAGCTTCTTGTTACTACTAGTAAGGCACCTGTTACTACTAGCGATGCACCTGTTTCTAATAGCTTCTTGTTACTACTAGTAAGGCACCTGTTACTACTAGCGATGCACCTGTTTCTAATAGCTTCTTGTTACGCTCTCTCTCTCTCTTTTTTTCTTTGTGCGGAGGCCATGAGTCCATGATGTGCCAATTTCAGCTTCTAGCAGGGAACTGTCGAGGGGATCCTGGCACAGCAGCTGTCCAGGTGGGCAAATGTTGCTTTGTGATTGAAGGTGATTTATCGTGTATTCCAGACGGCTGTTGCGCGTTGCTTGCCCTGGCACGCCTTGGAAGCTTTTCATGGTTGGTACGAGGGTAGACAACAGGTATCAGACAGGCAGAGAAAACCGCGGTTAGCTCCAGCAATCCCTATTTGATTTCTTTTCGGAAAAGTAACACTGGTTCAAGCAAAAAGCTCAACAGCAAGCCCTGAAACAAGTGCAATGTTTGACAATGTGAGTTGTGCCTTTGGCTCTGCATGCTTTAGCAGATAGGAAATGAATTGACACTGCAGGTAACGGCTTTATCATTAATGCTTCTTAGCTTCTGGAGCCTGGTGCTAAGCGTCATTTCAGTCTTGGTTCTAATCAAACACTGTTTAACTCCTTGGAGCTTCAGTTTGTGTTCTCAGGTCTTTTTGCAGTTCTGTATTTGTTTCCGTGCTATGCGTGTTCCTTTTCAGGTATCCACGCTTCAGTCTTTTGTGGCTGGTTCAGAAGGTTGAAGCAGGCAGATCAAAGAAGCAGGGTTTGCTGGGCTCGTTGGCAGGTTCTTTCTTGGATTGATTTGGATTGTATTGCGTGTTGTTTTCCTTTTTCCGCAGAAAGAGGGGCATCAAGCCTTGAAAACCGGAGAACGGGCAAAGAATGCTAGAGAGGTAAGCTCTTGTATCTTAAGCAAGCCAGCTGCACCAAGAAAACCACCTCCTACTGGACGCAGAAGCACCCTTTGAAGGATTGATTTGTTTCATCAATGTATTTCAACTAGCTCACACAGTCAACATTTGATTCTGTTGGACGGATCCAATTGAATTTGTCCTTGCTCACAGGTATCGAGATAGGTTTGAGGTGCTGATAGCCCGGTGACAGTCAATAATGGCTGCAGAAGTCTAGATACAATATGATACATTGTACAGAAGCGTTTTAAACATTTTATAAGGCTCTTTTTCTGGAAATCTCATGGGACAACAGCCGCCATGGAGCCATCCAAAGAAAGGAGTGTATCAACGGGACACAATGCTGGCAAAGTTTGGCTTGTGGTCCTTACATCGATATGGTTTCAGAGTGAGTATTACCAGTATTGTACAAGTGCAAGCAATCTGAAGTTCTGGCCTGTAAGATCATCGCAGCTGTTGAAGGTCATGTCGTTCAACATCCGCTACGACAACTTGGCGGACAAAGCGCATGGCAATGGATGGGACACAAGGCTTCCCATGGTGGTGAATCAGATCACAAAGCATTCACCGGATATTGTTGGCACTCAAGAAGGGCTTTTGCACCAGTTGCATCAGCTCAAGCAAGCACTGCACGAAAAGGGCATGAACTATTCATTCTGTGGCTCCGCTCGGGAACGATTCTTGGGATGTTTCCCATGTGGAGAGCACTGTGCAATTTTTTCAAGCCAGTCGCTTCACTCAGTGGTTCAAGCCTCCTTTGCTTTGTCAGAGACACCTTCATGTATTGGTTCTCGATCTTGGGGAACTGGATGCCCAAGGATCGCCACCTATTCGTGGTTTCAATTTTCAAGCAGCTCAGCATGCGTCTTGTTTCTGAACACTCATCTAGATCATGTCTCCCAGCGAGCACGAGCTCTTGGGTCTGAATTGATTGTGAGAGTCCTTGATGAACTTGAGAAAGCTCCACCTCCAGCTTGTCAACACATTGCAACCATCGTGGCGGGAGATTTCAACAGCTTGCAGCGAGATGCTAATGGGATACCAGAAGCTCCATTTTCGGCCTTTCGATCTTTTGGCTTTCGAGATGCATGCAGTGAGTTTGGTGCTCGTAGTTGTCCCTTTCTGACATTTCATGGATACAAACCGGCATCTGCCTTGCATGCACAGAGCCCCAGGAACCCTGCGACAAGACCACTACGTCGTGGAATGATTCACGGCCATATCGATTGGATCCTTTGGCGAGGATCTTTGAAGCTTATAGACTTCGAGGTTGATACCACCCTACAAGATGGCATGCCACCATCAGACCACTTTCCGATCATTGCGACCTTTCGCTTGCACGCCAGGGGACAAAAAACTCCTACAACTTTGTTGTGCTCATACAGCTATATAATACAATTCTTTGGTTATCAGTGGCCGCGTATGGAATAAGATGGTAGCAAAAGTCTGGTGCCAAGTGACTTTTTTTTGAGAGGCGAGAGGTGCACAATAGAGCACAGCCACCAAATGTGACAGTGATCACCTATTTGGCAGGCTTTGACTCAAGCTTTGGCCCACATTGAACCGAGTCAAGCCGGGAGCCCAGACAAGGGAATGTTGTGGACATGCTAGCTTAAGGCTTGGACACTGAACATGTGGCTAATCTTTTGGCGTGTTCCTTGACTGTCCTGATGCAGAGAGTATGCGTGCAGACTCGTTGAACCAACTGCAAGCATGTAAAGCCTTTGTTGGTGAAGAGAGATCTCAGTATATGATATATATATATATGTTATGTATACTGTATACATATATATAGTCTACTTAACCACATCCCGCACGGTAATGCCAAAGGGCTGAAAACAGGTTATATAAGCCTAGACATATTTGATGGCAGGAGATAAAGGTATATCAAACTATTCTGAATTGACACCCAACTTTGTTTCCACTTCCCTCCTGAGCACTGCGGGAACATGCAGAGTACAAGCCTGTCCAACAACAAGGACAATATCCTTGGAGAGAAGTTGCCTTTTTGCACAGCGGAAATGCACAAAGAGGGAGGTTTTCCTCTAGACCCAAAGACCAATAGTAACTATAAATTCATGTTGCACTAAGCTTGGTGTAAGCCATCGACATGTAACTCAGGTTACATTCTTCGATCATCCCTGTCACAAAGCACCGTACTTGCCATCAACTATGCCGACAACTCCACGGTAATTCAACTGAATCTGAATCGGCAAATGCGAGCACGGGCTTGTAATGTAAGGTGCTGGCTCTCATATTGTCTTGATTGAATCGTTGATAAGAAAACGATATCTTGCGTTTGTTTTGAGTCTTGTGACCAGCCACCTTAGCACCGAGACGACGTAGCTCAAGGGACATGTTCAGCCAAAGGATGCAGCT